TGTAAAAAGAGTATAATAAAAGTTGCCAGTAATATAATTTATAGAAATTAGTACTACTAGACATATGAGTATTAACAAACCAAAACCTCGATTACTCTCCATATAATCCAATACTATATAAATCATTTTCGCACTGTTTGTATAAAGGGTAAAAGTGTGCTTTTCCATTTTTCTTTTTGCCGATTGTAGTGTCAATTTAAATTTAAAAAAAACCTCCTACTTAAAGCGTCGATAAGCTGCAACATTAATGTCAGTAGATATATACACACTTATATACTTAGGTATGTACATATATTTTCATATAAAAATTGTGGTGAATGGCGGTAATTATGTGCAACTATTGCAAGTTGTAATCCTTAAAACAGTTACAGGGGAAATAAACATACACACAAACAAGCGCACACTTGTCGCATACGCTCAGCTGCACACAAACATATGTTGTGGTAGAGTATTTGTGAAAATGAAGTGTTCGTTCTTGTGGAGTAGCGATTTTCTGCATTGCCGGCAATTTTTCTTTAACAACTTGTTTATAACAAGTACATGTGTATTTGTGTGGAGCAAAGAGAAATGAAATCAAATCAACAACAACAACAATGAATTTACTAAAATAATTTTTAATGCTATCTGTGATTATTAACAACATTTCCTTGATATGTTCGCACTTAATGAGCGTCATTTGCAGAATATTTTTCCCTTCTTTTGTTTCCCTTTTTTTGTTTAAATCTGCGTGTGCGTAACTGCAGGCAATTGTGTTCTTATTCGCAGCTTCATTTCTTAATGAACGGGAAAAGATTAATAAACTATTTCATATGAAAGTTATTTAAAAGAACAAGATATTGGTTAGATATTGGAATGCACACAATTCCTATACAAAATATTGATCAGAGTTGAAACCATTATTACTGACTCTAAGATAATATCACAGCACATGTACTGCAGTTTTCTAAGAGATTTTGAATTTTCATTTTAATTATGCCAAAAGCAATCAATTAAGTTAAACTGAAAGGATATTATTCCTGCATTATGACCCTGATAATCAATGGCTTAATAGCCGTCTTTATTACAAAAACGAAAATGGTTTGAAATCTAAAGAAATCATCCGCAGCTGTTAAAATTCCGAACGCTCTACTGAAATAATCAAATTATAAATTGTAACTTCGGGTTGAATTCAAGGAAGCAAATTAGAAAAATTCAAACAATTACTGCTATCAGTGTAAGCCAGCGACATGGTCGACCTCAGCCGGACAGACGGACTTCTGGCGAACAGACTGGCTAGCAGACTGACTAGATGCAATGATACTGCAAATATGAAAGGCACTTACGAAAATGCAAACATGCCACTAATGCCGATTCATAGTCATAATCAAATATGACACCAAGGCAACATGCAGCACCACAAGGCACAGACTTCCACATTGACAGCAGCCACAACGAGGTAAGGCGAAAATCAACAAAATTGCAATCGACAGAAGGAACACAGAGTAGTAGAGCACAAGGGTAATGCACGACAGCGCAAGGAAGTCCACGGTAACGTACAGCAATGTTTCATTTACAAACAAACCAAAATAAATCTAATATAAATTTACAAAAACAAAAACAAAAGAAAAAGGAAAATATGAGGGCAGAAATGCAAAAAAAGAGATTAAAACCCGAAATTGAATTTGAAAAAACCAACAGATGCCGCAGATTACCACTAAAAGCAGCAGAGCAGCAAGGCAATAACAGCGCTCGCCGTAACAGTCGCAGTAACACTCGCCGTAACTGAAATGCCAAAAACTAAAATGAACCAAATTGAACTCCAAACAAATCGTTTGCGAATAAAGCAAATCTAAATATTAATGTGCGAACCAATGAATTGGAAATGAAAACGATGAGGGTAAAGTGCCAGCAACAACAACAGCAACTGCAACAACTACAACTGAATAGTGACAAACACACACACACAAAAGCACAGATACGAACATATGAGCAGCATGCAAACCTTTTATAAATAAATGTACAATGAAGTATGCACATGTTTACATGTGGACAGACAGAGAGACAGAGTGACGGACTCTCAGTTATGTGAAGATAGAGTTGGCATATTAAATCAGAAGCGCAAAGGGTCGCAGCATTGTCATATGTTGAATGTAGGGCTGGTGAGTGTAGCAAAAGCAATAAATGTAAAAATGTTAATAAAAACAGCAGGACAAACAGCAGCCACAGCCGCACTGGCAGCAATAGTAGCAGCAGTAGTAGCAGCGGCAGTTGTACTAAAACTAGTGCCATCAATAATTTTGGTTGTTGCTTTTGTTACAGGTTTCTTTGTTATATTTTGTTGGTTAAACTTTCAACATGCAAGCAAGCGAGCAAGCAAGCAGTATTAAATGCAGGAAGCAGAGGAAGAAAATTAGAAGAACAGCATCCACCACAAGCTTATGGGGCCAATGTAATACAGCGAAAAGGTAGTAGGCAAAACAGTGAAAGTACAAAACACAACCAATAAACAACAAATGAATGCTGCAGCAGGTTCGGTTGCTAAGGTTTAACAGAAACGTGCGCTATTATCTGCATAAATCTTCTTTGCAAATGCAGTCAACCCTTGAATGTTGCTGCTATGCTTTACTACCTTCGTAGTCATCATAGTCGCAAGGAATTTCATGCAACATAAATATTTTTGTCACTTTTTTCCTTGTCTTGCCGGCTTCTTTGTGTGCTGATACTTTTATTGTTGTTTGTTTTTCTTTTTCTTTTTTCTTATTTTTTTTTGTTTGCAATGAAGTTAGTTTAGTTGTTGTTATTGTGAAGGCACATGCCATCAAATAGAATTGCTAAAAAGAGGGGTAAAAAAACACTATCATTTTGTGTTGAAGGGAAATAAGTTTGTTGGCCGAAGTTTATTTTGCGGTTCGGCTTACTGCCTCATTCCTTCTGCCTCCTGCCTTCTGCCTGCTCTATAAACATGGCAATTTCTGGTATGTTATTAATCGCGTAAGGAATTTTCAAATTTTTTGTTGTTTACAATATATTATACAATTTACTAAACTATAAATAAGCTTTTTTGCTTTGTTCTCTTATTTGTGATATTTTTTTGAAGCAAATTCGATGCCAACTGCTTTTGTCGTGCGATTTTTTTTTTGTGGTTGTTGGTCTTTGATTGTAACTTTTTATCGTTTATCAGGTTTATAAAACACACAAACAAACACGCACATACAGTCGCCGAAATTAAAAATATTTATGTACTTTCGGTATGTGTGTGTATGTAGGGAATATTCACATATGTATTTTATTTTAGAAAACTCTGCCGGGTTAGAATTATTCATGCTAGGTGGCTGCTGTTGCGTGCTTGTGACCTTCAAGGCTGGATTACCGTTTGGATTGCTAATGCGTAAAAGGCAAGCGAGGGGCTTATCTCAGGTAAATGGAAACTTTAAAAATGAGAATTTTTCGAACGTTCTATTGTTGACTAAGATTTTATTATTTTATTAAGTTTCAAAATAAATTGAAGGGATTTTATAAGCGAATGCAAAGAATTATAAAGTTATTTTTTACGCAGTACCTTGTTTAATCCAAACAACACACATTTGAACTTAAACTCAAAAATATGATCGAAAACATGTAGAAATTTTTCTCCAGTGGTCGACGTATGAATGTTCTTATTATATTCATCTAAAATGATTTCTCAGTCTGAAGATATGCCCAAGTATTTTCTTACACTTTCACCTTTCAAACATCGTTGGACTCCTAGTGCAAAACTTCATCAATAGTCTTTGATTAATTTTCTCCCCTCATCTCTTTTGCGTATTTTTAAATTAAACAGCAGATAAACCGGGGTTCGGAAAGTTAATCACTTGTAATTTATTGTTGTCAGCTAAATGTGGTTCCTTCCCTTCTTCTACGTATCGTTGCGGGGTAGTTTTACACCTTCCTAATACCTATTTGTTCACGTAATGTAAAATGTGTTTTGTGGGATTACCTAAAAACAACAGATTTACCTATAACACCCACAGTAAAGGTTAATAAAATTTTGGACTTTATAGCTTAGACAGAAATGCAATTTTAGAACTTGGTTCTTTGTATGGAATATAATTAAAATTGTATATTTTCCTTGACCGAAGAGAAACTTTTTTAATTTATGAATTTGAAGTTTAAAATGTCAATTAGGGGAGAAGAGGAATAGAGAAATGCACATTTTATAACTTCATGAAGACTTAAGGTATTAAAGATATAAATAACACCTAGAATCTAAATTAATAGCTTTCTGTGACTCTAAGATTTTAATATTTTTTTATTTTAATAAAACCCAAACAAATAAAATCTATTTAAGTAGAGTTCTGTTTTGCGTCGCAAGTAAACATTATAACAAGTTTAATGACGATTAAGTCAATTTGCTATAGCTTTTTTACTGATTTCAATATAGACTAAATATATTAGAAATATGTCTGAAGTTCAAACTAGATCTAAAGTGAGCCTGCGATGAGATGAACTGCAAACAATAACGGAATAACCTTCATATCAAGAGAATTACGACGAATACTGTCAAAACTAAGGTAATGTGGGGAAAACTGATAAACAGATTAATTATTACAACGTCTTTTACAAAAACATTGAATTAAATAAAAGAAAATTAAATTAATGAAATACAATGATCTGGACACCACTACCTACCAACAAATGAAATGTAGACGTACCATCAAGTAATAGGATAAAACACCACTATATACCAATTGGGAAGATACAGCCGCTTCCAAAAAAAACTAACCATATATTGATTATTAAATCACATATATTATCAAAAACAAGAAAATTAACATTCCAGACTGTATATAATTGTCGAATGCATTCCATTGTAGGAAGCAGAAAAAATAGCTAGCTTGTAAATCACAAAAAACTTAGCAAAGTAACATCTGTAAAAACAAAACATCTAAAGAGAAAAACTCGGTGTTCCAAAGATAAGAAACGACCATGTAACAAATGAACTGTAGTAAGCAAAAAAATGTTGTTTGCCATCAAGAACTCACCTTTGACATTTCATAAATGTTTTTTGAAAACAAACCCAGAGAAGGATAAACTTATAGGACATCCAAGTTTAACATTTATGAAAAATGTATCAAAGATACTTCCAAAATGATATTTGGAATCAAATCAGAGAATGAAAAAGTTATTGGACGTCGAACACTAACATTCTTGGAAGAAGTATCACAGACAGCGATGAAAAGGGAAAAAATATGAATTTCTATCAACTTTTAAATTATTCCCCATAAAACTGCACTTATACCTAAAAGAAAACTCTAAAAATGAGAAAGAATACGTAATGGAAAAGCAGAACTTTAATCTATCCAGATAATTTTAAAGTCATTTTTCTTAATTTAATTTAAAAAATGAAACTTCTTGTTTAAGTACAAATTCTTTGAATACTTTCAACCCCTTTTCGACTTATAATGTAGTAATTTCAAAAATGTCTAAACTGCATTCCCTTCACTTCTACCCCTTTTGCAATTCTTCACATTAGATTCGCTCCACTCAATGCAAATTTAAATTAAATTTTTTGCTATTTCAGTAGAGTGATCCTTAGAACAAAATTAAAATCGTTAATCAATGTCATGTCAAATATTGTTGGTCCGTTCAACTTTTTATGAAGCGTACGAACCGCGCCAAGCCGGGCCATGCACTTGAAATGCCACACTTGCAACGAACTGTGCATCCGAAAATCAGCCAAGTCATGACAAATTTTGCTGGAGCAATGGAAACTCACAAACGCAGCCCAAAACCTGGAAACTAATCACTTTTAATGCTGCAATTCAGCGAGTTTTGTGATGCTACTCGTACTATTCCTCTTTTATAAAGGAATTACAATTACATTTACCCACAGTAGACGACTCAGAAACTCATTAAAGCACACAGGAGGTACTTGCTGCAGGATGTGGCAAGGCCACGCAACTCAAAAGAATATTCTGACCACTCAGCTCTGCTACCACAATGAATGGAGTTTTGCATATAAACTCGCTTGGCGCCTTTGCTGTAGTTGGTTTATTTTCTTTTCGGAATTATGTTATTTGTTACTTTTGTACTTACTTTTACATTCATTGGCTTCACTATCTGTTGCACGTCCCCACGGTCTGTCGAAATAGAATGGCTTGCAGCGTTCACATTCCGGTCCAGCTGTGTTGTGCTTACAGGCACATGTCATTGTCATTCTGGCGTTTATAAGGTTCGCGTTCTGATTGTTATTTAGTAAGCCAGTACTGCGTCCAAAACTGTTCGCATCTTCATCCCCATTATCGCTGTCATCCACATAAGGTGGCAAAGCTTCATTGTTACTTACTGCGGCTATACATTCTGAAGCATGTCCATTGCATTTACAACGTCCACCCACGGCAAAATCTGAGACCGCATAATGCTGTGACATTGCTAAAAGATCTTTAACAGTTGGTTCTGGGGTGGGCTTGGTATCGGTAGCTTTTGATTTTTCGGGCACACTAATCTTTATGGTACTCGTTGTTGTAGTTTGTGCAAGTTGGGACTTTCCCAAATAATGCTTTTCATAAGCGCTGGATTTGTGTTTGCTGCTACGTTTTGCTTCTTTTAATATGCCATCATTTGCATATTCTTCCAAATCTAAGTCATCGTCAAGTTCCAAATGTTTTTTCGGTTCCTCATAATCATCTTCATCATAAGTGCTATCATTATCTTCGAGATTGTAATCATAGTCCTCCTGACTGCTGCCCATTTCATCGCTGAAACTGTTTGCATTTGTTTTGGTGGCTACTTGAGGCTCAACCTTCATTAGTTCTGCAGGTAACTCAAGGCGGTGAAATATTACACGTATATCTGTGGCAGTCACCCAGTCCTGTAACACGAAAGAACCGTCCAAATCATTAGCAGATGGACGACCTTCTAGTGTGTTGAAAGCGAACCGCTGTGTACTGCCATCACGATGTGAATCTATGCAACGCGCTTCTTGTTCATTAAATTTGCTAATCTTGGCACGATCTGGACGTCCATAAAATTTCTGACACTGAGAACTATAAAACTGAAACGGCTGCCAAGTTTGTCCAAAATCTGAGCTCTTATATATAGCCATGGAATCAGGTCGTGGCGATTTAGGGCAAAATGACAAACTGATGTAGGTTAACTCATATTTTTTGCCCAGTGACAGTGTAAGTGTCACATTATCCGGCGGTGCTGTATCGAGGTCTAATGGCACAGGCACAGTTGCCGAACGCCAGCAAGTCACATTGTTCGGATTATTGAGGTCTGTTAGTGCACTTGTAGGAAAACGAAATTCCGTTTTCGCATTATCGCACATGCGACAATCACCTACGCTACCATCGCGGTTCAATTCGCAGTAGCGTTCCGGCTGATGTGCACCGCAAACACTAGAAGCTTGCACTGGATTACCATAGGCTGCATTCACAAAACTCGGTACACACTTGCGTGGCTTGCTTTCGTAGTAGCAAGGGTCATTGGAATTTGAGGCAGCCACAGAGGCAGAGATGCTACTTGCGATAAGCAACAGCCAGACAAGCCTACACAGGGCCCAGCTGTGCTGACTGTGTTGAAATTGCTGGTCACTCATTTTGCACTTCTATGACTAAAAATAGTTTGCTCCTATTCTTCTTATTTTTGTGGCTACTGCGCTAGTTGATTGCTATTTGTTGGTTTTGCAGTCAAGTCACATACGCGCTCTTAACACCTTTGGAATTCTTCTGGTTGCAGTTTTTAAGTAGGCCGGCAGACAAGCACCAACTGTGTTTAGTGCTTTTGCAAAGCACGTGCTATCTGCAGTCTCACACACACACACTCCCCGGTGCTACCGGCACTCTTTTGCGCCACACTTGAGTAATTTGTATTCAAATTGAATTCCTGCTTTTAATTAAACGACAACACGAACGACGCTAATTGCGCCTGCCGTGGACAGACGAGGCGCTGTGAATACCAGCACAGCGTCTAGCACAGCCTAAACAGTTTCTGTGAATGGGTGCGCGTTATGACGATTCACACCTTTACGATACACTGGAGTCCAGCACACATACCACGTCCCCCACGTTCGCACGTAAGCCGCAACACACACGCCAGCAAAGCAAAGTAAACAAAAGCCGTTCAACCGCACCAAAATGCACTCGAGTGACGTTCAGCACTGACGACGGAGTGACAAAGCCTTTTGTGGATCCAACGGAGCTGTGGTCTGAGACGCGTTTCACTACGCAACCAAAGTATTTCGTTTGTTCAATGGACTTCGTAAGTCTAAATTTGCACGGAAACCAAAAAAGAAAACGCGTTTGTGCCGAAAATGCACGCGGGCCGTAAAAGCGCACTAACGGTTTCGCGACAACGGCAAAGCACCGCTAACAATTTTATGCAACAAAAGCACACACTACACCGCACTTCACCGCACCACACAACGCGACACAATCGTCGGCGTCAAACTGTCTGCATGTAAATTTGAAGGTTTACGCGAATTTAAGTCGGACGAAGCGCAACAGCTGCCGTTGTGCTTTTAACGACTAAGCACGAATTTCAATTTTTCACTCGCATTTAATTGCATTTTATTGTGCATTTTTGTTTTGATTATTTATTCTCTTGTAATTTCAACTCTTAATTCACATTAAATTAAAGTTAAGTTAGGTTGAATTTAATTTATGTTCATGTTTAACACCAAAAAAATTTTTGTATTTATGCCATTTGAGCTTAGGGTGCAGCATCCGCTACTGTTGTCCTACGCAGTCAGCAGCTGCCGTTGTTCTGCTAATTTTTCCCAAAACTTGACTAATTTAAAATTGAAGAAACTGACACCGCCGACGACAACGACGACGACGACGACTATGACAACGAGAAATTCTGTTCTATTGAGTTCCGATGTTGTGCTGTACTTAACGTAACACGAATAACGAATAAAAATATTCACCACACTTCCGTAAACAATATCGTTAACACTTACTTCACTTCCGTTTTCCTCTGCTTCCGATTTCGTAAACGTAAATAAAAAAATTTTTATAAACACGACGAGCAACCCCACCACTTCGAACGAGAGTTTGTTAAGTACTGATTGGACTTTTTCCAACTGCAGTGCATAAAGTGTTGAGAAGCCGAAAACTTGTCGCTGCTACTCTCTCACAATTCAAATGTTAACAGCACTGACTCTTACATGACGCTGTTAAAAAGTCTGTAGAACAAAATATAACATTACGTATGTGATTAATTTACACAAATCATTTATTTATTAACATTAGATTTGAAATTTTTAAAGTTAATAAAACGGTTTTCAAGCAATAGAACAGAAACTTCTACTATTATATGAAATGTGAGTAAAAACAAAATATAAGATAAGCTTTGACTAAGCCAAAGGATCACTAGTATTCACATATATATCCGTAGTTTCTGAAACAAATTGATTATAAAATTTTTTTAGTCTATATTCTGAAAACAATTTAGAAAAATTAAAAATACGTTGAATGAGACATATAATCTCTATGCTTAAATCAAAAAATAAAATAAAATTCTAGAAATACGCAATCGAGGACGATCAAGAAAAAGAATGAATGTGAGATGGAATAAAAAACGCTTTGAGAGCACTGCAGTGAATATATAATAAAATTAGAAATGGTAGGCAGATTTAAAAACGAATGAAAGAAGGAGATTATTCAAGTCTCAGTGCTTAGATCATCCATATGCACTATATATCAATACCATTAATATAAAAACTCATTTTCGGTGGTTATATTGTATGGCTGCCCTATTAATTGCATATTAAATCAACAATTAATTATTTTATTATTCGTGATACCGTAAAGATGACTATAGTCAATAGTCTAAATATTGTTAACAATAAAATATATTATTTAAAATTGTTTTACAAAGTTGCGTATTATTCAAACAATTGTTCCATTAGCTTAATTATTTTATTAAATTAAAGCATATAAAATTTGCATCAACTTTAAACTGAAATAACAGACTGTATATTGTTGAAATTTAGTGTTAAATATTTTTTTTAACAGAACTGAATTATTTAACATACCATAAAATGCTTGCTACTACCCTACTGTTAACTTAAACGAAAAACATAGAAATATGAAAAATGCCATTTATTTCTGTTAATAAAGCAATAAAAGAGTATAAAAATGTTATGTTATTAAATTACCGGTTAAGGATTGCAAATATAAATAAAAATTGGTTTTGTTAAATATTTAATTTTACAAGATAGTAATAAAAATATTATATGTAAAAAAAATCACAAAATTTTTTTAGTGATTAAAATAATTACAGAGTTTCATTAATCACTGTAAGTGGCTATTTCATATTTAAGAAAAGAGGCCTAAATGTAAGTCTTTTTAACAATAACTATTCATTTTGTGAATGTAACAATTTTTATATTAGCATTAAATCAAATTCGACATATAGTTAAATTCTTTTCAAATTTATTTAATATAATTCTTTAAGATGCATTTCTGAAAGTTATTTCATTAAAGAAAGATCCAATTTTATCTACATAGACAGTCGCCAACATTACTCTTAGATCTACTATATGTATGATCCGAATATATATAATATGAAAGATTAAACTAGAATCACGTGCAAATAAGAAATAGAAGTATTATAACCTAAACGATCTATTGAACTCTCCATCAGAAAAAGCGTTTCCTTTTTGATAAAAGATTCATATTAATGTAGCAAAAAGAATTTGAATTACACAATAATATATTACGAGTACACACAAAAAGGTTTTTTTAAAGGTTAGCTTATCTTCAAAATATCGATAACATTTTATTATATATAGTACAGTATACAGTACAGTTCCCGACTTTAGGTTCCACCAGTGTTTAAGTAGTTGACCTGCAAATATCGATGTGGAAGTACAACAGCAAACAGAAAAAGAAAAGATGTTAGAAAAAAGAATCATCGGGTACTAGTGCATTATAATATAGTGATCATATTGAAAACTCCGATAATGAAATAACGGAGTGACTTGCCTGGAGAAAAGCAGCCACGCTGCTTGTAGCCAGAAACCATGCTGTGCTTTAAACAGATATAATTTCTTTTCATTATTAGGAAAATAAGAAGAGAATTACAGCAGAATAATCTCCTTGGACTGTATCAATCAAAATAGAATTCGATTTGCAATGAAAATTAATTAAGAGATTATTTAAATTTCAGCAAAATTGACTTTAAAATCACTACATAAGTTTTGACATGCCGCTATGGGTTGAGTTATCATCTAATAAAACAGGAAATGTACTCTAATAGAATTTAGAGGTATAGAGAATCGGACCGCTAACAATGTGTTATGGGATTGCGTGACCTTAATTCTGAAACATAGGAGATGCTAAGGTAGACATCTTAAGTTGGATGAATATATAAAAACCGACAAAGCAGGCTCATTACTAAAAACTAAGTTATAGTATTCTACAAATATAAATATATATAAATAAAATATAGTCACAGTTTGTAGATCGAAGTGAGCAGAAGTAAAGCCTACAGTTTAAAATAATACAATATTTCAAATACAGGAGCTCATACATAACTCAAAAACAATCTGAAATAAAAGGCCTTATAAACCTGCATTATTTGATTGGATAGCTGAGATTCATAAGTTGTCTAGATAAAGGAGCACAGTCTTTACAATATATAAGAAAGAAGTGTGATATTGTACTTTTATATACATATATATTATTACTTTGGATGCTACTGATTATTAATTTAAATCACGAATTTTTAATTTCCTCAACAATGCTTCGACCATTTCAACATCCCAGCGAAGCAATATCCTGATAAATTTATTTCATAGCATTTCATTTTATTTTTTCTTATAGAAAATATATCTTGAATATTGTGTTTAGTCGTTGGCGTTGCCATATTAAATAAAATAATTTTGTTAAAACAAACATAAAAGAATTGAAATATTCTAAGTGAGTTGTTTGGATACAATTTCCTTGCCTGTGTGCAGCAGATACACATTAAGCAAAAATAAACAGATTAAATTAAAATTCCATTACTTGCAGCATTTCGTACCCAACTCAAATTTATGCCAACAACATTTCAAATGTACCAGAGACCAAGGAAACATTCGGACGGAGAGAAAAATAACCTAAAAACATTAAAATTTATAAACAAATATTTTAAATAAAACATAACGCACGTTCCTTCTCATCCAAGCTGAAGGTTGGATGAGAAATGCTGCTGTTGATGATTATTATAATGACGATGATGAGATGACTTTAAATGGACCGTAAGCCAAGGAAACCGACAACAACAAAAACAATTTTAACAAAACAAAAAAAAAATATGACATATAAATATATAATACTCATATATGGTATGGACTCATATAAATATATGTGGATTTTACTTAATATATGAAACTCTTTATATGGCACATTTACACGCAGGATGACACGGATGCAGTTACATTGGACGACGGTTCGAAATATACCATTAAGATTAAGTTTTAATTTTAGTCATATTATTTACAGATTAAGATGTTTTTACGAAAAATAGAGATGAAAAATGACTGACACTGGAATATTTTACTTGAGAATATTTATGCAGTTTGGAGTACTACTCCATATCAGGTAGCCACTGTTAGCGTACACCCACAAGCTAGTAACCTTAAAAACAAGCCATACGAAATAAGTTGGAAAATGTCAGAAGCAATAAATCAACGGCCTAAATGTGTCCCGAAAATAAGAAGAAAAAATGTTTCAAATTAACCCGGACAGACAGACAATTGGACGGACATCTAAAAGCAAAGTGTACTCGCTTGTACAGAAGAAAGAGTAGAGTTGTGCATTCGAATAGTCAGGTATGTATGTAAAACGTATACGGAATATGTAAATAAATTTAAAAGCGTTACAAATTAAAGGTAACACTTCAGTGCTCACCTTTTTGTGGAGTCTACGACAGTGCCATCGGTATCATAACTGACGAAAAGAGCACTGTAAGTATTTTAGTACCCCTGATGCTTATATAATGTAATATATCCCCAATCCCCCTTTTGTTTCGCCTCTGGTCCAGGTTACATACTACTGCAATGGAAATCAATTTACGCATAGTTAAGGTAGAATTAATATTAAAAACTAATAAACTTATTTCTTTTTGAAAAAACTAAATAATTTTACACTTAAATATCGTCCAAGTTGCTCCAATCACCAACAACGTCAATCCAATACCCAATAAATTGAATAAGTTTGCGTGGAGTTGAACGAATTTAAATCCGGTTGAATGGGATTGAATGGAATTGAATGAAGTTGAATTAAAAGGGAATTCGGTCAAGCATTGAATGCGTCCGACTTGGAATTGTAAGTGAAACTTCGTTGGTGAGGTTGTGCGGAAAGTATAGGTGTTAATTGTCTGAGCTATTGAGTTCCAGATAAGTATACTTCTAAAATTAAAATAGTTGTCCTCCCCGCTCACCTGTGTGAATAACTAAAGTATTCTTTTTATTTTAACTCCAATGGAATTTTTTTCATTTGATATTTGAATTCAAGTGTTGTGCGTGCAACAAGCTCGGGCCACGTGAGCCACTCTTGCGCATAAATTAAATATTCTTTTCTTTAAGTAAAAAGATTTTCTTCATAAACCGAAAAGTGTTACGGTTTCTTTCTTTGGAAGCCTTCCTCTTATGCTAATTTCATTATAAAAATTATTTTTTTCCTTATTGGGTGCTTTTTCTTCGAGTTCGGTGAAGTAGTGTGCAGTTATTGGGGTTCTCGGTGCTGCGTGTATGCATTGATGAGGTTGTAGGGAATTACGATTTTATTTAAGTGCATAAATTTTGTTGAACTTAACAATGTGTACTTTTTTTGGGAGACCTTGATTAACTTCCGCTGTCAGCTACATGAGCATAAATCTGATTAAATTCATTAACTTCATGAAGATTCACACTTTAAATTCACACTTTCATTTCACAATTCACGCAATATACGAATGTTTAAAATTTTACAGTCTTGGAATGGATGTCATCATCATGAAGAGATTGTAGAGGTATCATTTGTATGGGTCATGGTATATAAGCAGCACAAGCA